TTGCTTAACTTTCTCCTCAGAAACTTTATCAAAACACTGTTAAAGTAAACCTTTATGATTTCTCTGGCTAATAGCAATCTAATGAAGTATGCCGTTCTATAAATTTCTTCTTATAAGAGGAGAGACTAGGCCATTGTAAAGTAATTGCCTCATAGCGGTCCTATGTAAATGTTTGGGTTCGACATATTGACAACTTTGATCCCTTTATAGTGATCACTTGATTAATGATGGCTTTGCAAACTTTTCGTAATTAATTTTGATAGTTTTTGGTAATAATTTTTGCTTTATTATATTATACTTTCACGTTAAAAAGAGTTTTTTAAAAAAGATACGTAATAATAATAATTGGTAATGCGCAATTCTATAGGTATTTTAATTTTAATATTGGTATCATACGTAGGTATGTATACGTATGTACCTACATATATATTTGATGAAGATTAATATTATAATGATATTAATAATAAAATAATTTACAATTCATTTTTATATCGAGGTTTTAAATATTTGATATGTTAATGTATCTGCCCTTTATACATATTCAATGTACCATGCTTCAATTTGTAAAATAAAAGTAAAAAGTTGACATAAGTTTTGTTATAATACCACTCATTGATTTTGTAATGGAAGGGATTTTCCAAATTCATGTAAATAATGGACGCCGCCTTATAATAATTAACAATATTTATACTCCTAAAAAATATCGCGAAGCTTCCGTCTTGATAATGAGTATTCGGTGGAATGTTTTTCATGTGAATAAAAACAGCAGAATGGTGTAAATGGTTTGCATGAGTAAAACTCGTTAATCTAGGCATCCGGGCTGTTGAATACTACTGTATAACAGAGAATTATACTAACAATCCTAAAATTATCTTCAATTATCTTTCGACACAGTCAGGCGGTGAGTTGGTCATTCAGTATGATAATACAGATTAGTTCCAATAAAATAACAAATATTCGTCTAGATTATTTAATTGATATGGTGCATGTATTTTTGTGTACTTTTATTTTGTATATATATATGAGCGTGAGCTCTTGTGCATGAGAGCGTGCGTACGTGCATGTGTGTGTATGTGTACCTGCGTGTGTGCGCGTAAGCGCATGTGCGTGCCTGCGCGTGCGCGTGTGCATGTGTGCGTCTGCACGTGTGCGTGTGCATATGCTGTAACAATTTATTTTTTACCCCTCAGTTATGTACTTCGATTTCAACAAAATTTTGATTTGTAGTTTAAATTAGATGTTAAAAAAATTAAGACTTGCATTTGTGTAGTACTTATAAATGAGTCTGACAGATTTTTTTTTAATAGCTCTTTTAATATTACCACAACAAGTAAAAAAGGAATAATCTGAGACGCTTGCTTTTCATACAGATTGAGGCATTTATTTAAATGTCTGTAATTTAAAATCTTTATGCTCTGTAATATTATAGCAATATAAACTATTATAGTAAGTACATTGTTAGGCTGCATAACAGTAACTTTGTTATAAGATATTTTGTTGCATTCCAGTCTCATGCGGTAGGAAATTACTTACAAGAGCCTACCCGTATGATACTTTCGCAACTATGTTTTAGTTTCAAACCACGTCTGGCGTCAGCTTGCCTCTAATCTTTGTCAGATATGTCTCAGAAGATAAACGTGAATATAATAGTTAATTTCTCTGAACCGCTAACTTTCAGTTTTATGGAAATGATTTTGATTACGAGATTAAATTTGTAGTTTGTATTCATGATAAGTCTTCTCATTGTTTTGTGTTTGTATTTATTTATTTATTTGTTTAAATTTGTAAGCACAGTTCAGTGCCTACAAGTCAGAGATCTTCAATTAGCCTATATTTTTGTATGTTAAACTATAACTTCATCAATGTTGAACCGATATCGATAGTTTTATTGTAACTGATAAGATTTACTCTCGTGCTGATTCCATATGTAGAAACTTTTTTAATGGAAATAAATTTCAAAATATTTTATTTAACATGTACACAATTTTTCTATCTCTAGATTATTAGAAGGTTATATTAGCAAGAGGATGTACAAGTATATGTTTGACTATCTCGTACTATTTTTTAAATAATTGCTGCCGCAGGTAGATTACAGAACGAACAGAGAAAGTTGCCTATAAGTGTATCAGCAAATATCTAAACAACATAATATATTAAAAGATCAAATGTACTGATAAAATAAACCAGTCGTTTTTATGATCTTGTAAATTGCGTTTGTAATTCCTGCTAGCATTTTCCATAACATATTACCGGCGGGCTGGTATATATTCCAACATATAATACCTTCATAAACATTTGCTTTATAAACATTGCCAAGAATAAGAATGGAAAGAATAACGTATCTAATTTATTATTCCATTCTACAGCTGACGAGCAAATTACGTAGATAATTCCTTGCTGGATAATTTGTAAGGACTCCGTGAGAAAAATAAGCCTAGCCTGTTCAGCCGTTTACCGACTTATTTTTTACGTTCATACTTTACTTGAAGTTTACTAATTATAATATTTATGGGCGAAGATATGACATGATTGCTTGTTTATACATTAAATTTACAATACATATCTGCTTTAGTTTAAAAATTATGCAAATTTGTTACTCTTTACTAATAATACTTTTGGCTTTGTTTTACTGCATCGTCAGGAATATTAATATTATCGACAGTATAGTTAAAAGAATAAACAATATAGTTTTCTTATTATATACAAAACATTTCTTAGATAAAGTTTAAAGACCCATAGACTTGGTTACTGCAATGTCGCGTCTACAGTGCGGTGGCTGCCTTGAATCATGATTGTGTGCGCGTTAGTCACGCTACTGGCAGCTTGCAACTCAGGGCTGTTACTATTTATCTCGGTACATTTCGAAATACTATTATTTCGTATTTTATTGTACCTGTTCATTCTACGTCATATCATATTGAAGTTAATCATATAACATCTATAAATATTATTTGCTAAAATCCAATAATAGTAACATAAGATAAATTAATCACTGCGTAATATTATGTTAAACAAAAATTACCTAAACATATAATAACATCTTGAAACATAATATTGTCTGATTGAAAAATTTAACTCGGAATCTTTTTTATAAAAAAAAAAAAAACACTACTAGGTTAGGTACATTCTTTTGCGTAAATACGCATCACAGTATACACTCTTGTACTGTGAAGTTATTGTCATTGTTGTATATCCATTCCTTAAAATCCTCAAATGTAAAGAATTAATCAATGTACACTCGAGAAGCAGCTTGTTTTGTGAACATATTTTAGGTTTCGAATCTTATTTCGACTGTGTCTGAAATCATGGTTATTTTGTCTTTAATTATCGTCAGTGCAGCTACGCGCTGAGATAATCACATTCGTTCCAGTGTTGATTTCATCGTACACCCGATTGCAAGTTAAGATCACATTCGCTTCTGTGCCTCTGTTTCACGACTTGACATCCGGTATTTTATATTTCTTTGAACGTGGTACAATGAACTTGTTTCGTTTATATTGAGTTGTTTCTTCTTTAGTTGTTTCCTTTACAGGTGTCTCCCTCGAAACTATATTGTTATATACTTCATTATTTTTTTCAACAAGTGTGCTATTATTTTTCACTTAACCTATATAGAAATATGAAAGCAGAGCCATACAAAGTTACGTGCGACACGTGCTGTTTACTTATCTTTTATAGCAATAGAGACTATTTACGTTCTGGATTTATCTCGACCTTGTACCTTTTTTAGTTTTGTAATAACGAAATATACAAAACACACGCTTTCGTTAATTAAATTAACTGATTCGCTCGTCGCGAGCTAATTGCAAACGCTTGCTTATACTGGCATGGGAAGTTTCTAAATAATAGTATATTTGCCTGATATATATTATTGCCAAACAGAAACATGGGGCAATATATTGATTTTTTAAACATCTGTTATGTTGTTTAATAACCCAATTAACATTATTGATACTCATTATAATATGAACGTGATAAAGCATTTAGAATCTGTTGTTCATTCATTAGTATTCATACGGATAATCTGAAGCATTCATATGGCCTGTTTTCATTAACTTATTTATTTGTGCTACACGATTGGTCACTACAATCTTATCATTAGGAGATAAACAATGTTGTTTCGATCAATATTCCCTGATAACAAATTAGAAGTTGAAGGCGTTATTCATAAACGAAATTAGTGCAACCGTATGTGTGTGTAGTTCGTGACTGAACGGTCGTAATAATTTGACGTCCGGCTTGTTGAAGACTTGACCTTCAAATAGTTTTATTAGCGAACTAAGTCTTATTATAACTAAAAACTTGCTGTAATACATTCAGTATTAGGTATTAATTTCCGGAATATTTGTTTATTAAGGGTTGGCTAATGAACTACATAACACGGTCCAGGTACCATCATATAAAAAATAACTACTTAAAAGATCTTATTACCATATTGCATTAAAGTTAAAATATTATCAATGATGATAAATGACATAACACTATCATATAACCTATAGCTAATCACTTTTATTATTCCTCATTTAAACTTTCTTATTGATTCATAAACATTATGGGCCTGTTATATTTTACACATAAGATTATTTAAAAAGTAATTGAAAATGATTTTAAATCAAATATTCAATTTATATCATGTTAATATGATATTCACGTAAAAGCTCAATTTATTTAAGTTTTAAGTTAGCAGTTTATTATTAATTAATTAAACAATAAGACTAGATTATTAATGATACCACTTAGCTGTCGATTATAATCGTAAATAAGTAGTTTAGATTCAGTGAGTTCATGATCACCCAACGCAATAATATGTTAACTATCACAAATATAACTAAAATGCACAAGTATATAGTACATATATAAAACAAAGCATTTAATAAAACAACGTTCCGCATTTAATAAAACAACGTTCCATATAAAATAATATCTAAGTGGGTAATTAGAATGCATCACTTTTTTTTATTTTCTAATATTCTTTTAATACCTTAATATTATTTTAACAGATAGATAAGTAAAAAACAATTAAGATTATTTGTGATAAAAGAGAGTGAAATGAAATCTCGGAGGATCTTGGCAGGAAATAGGTTAAAGTGAAGCGAATGGCAGCGGCGATGCGGCGGTTTTACTACGAGGAGGCCAAGAGGCCCTAACGTGGCGTGCATCCGCCATCGCGATCACTATGTCGAGTGCATTGTCGCATAGTGCCTCGCCCACCGGCGACGATCAGAATAGACGCCGTTCCGTTTTTTATGTGCCATTATTTGAAAGTTTCGAAAATTATTTACCCTTGACCCCGGAAGAAAAAGAAGCGCTAATAAATGGACAAAACCTCGATTGTACATCTACAAGACCTAAAAGAAGAAATGTTTCAGATAGTGTAAGGTTGCAAATTCCTTCGCGGGTCGATTCATCTTTTACGGAGAGCGAGAGTGATATAAGCGTTTTCAGTCCAGAACGTCGATTTCGACGACCTTTATCGTCGACTGTGAGCTCTAGTGAGGCATTAACTAGAGTGGGTCATCGTGAATTAACTAGCCCCAGACTCGTGGCTGAAAGTGGTCTCATAAGACCAAAACCAAGATTACGAAGTACAACGTCATGTGAACATCGATACGATAGAATATATTCTCCAATGGGTGGATCGATCTCATCTAATAAACTTAATAATTCATCATCTCATATCGGGAATAATATAGAAAAGATAACATCTAAGAATCCCTTGCAAAATTCTAATTTATCTTTAATAGCGGACTCTCCTAAACTTTTAACTCCGAATAAAGAAAAATCTAAAACACTTCCACAAAATGTTAGCTTGTCTTCTCCTATTAGAGGTAGTAGCAGTTCTACATCTATATTTAGAACTCCTAGAATTACTGTTACACCAGATAGTCCAAATAAAAGTCCCGGCAAGATGTCGGGTTTAAATTTTATTCGACGGTCTAGAAGTACAAAACTATCTAGAAGCAACTCGCTTCTTCGTAGTATAACAACGAGACATATTGAAGAAGGATTAGAAGAACATATTGCAGTAGTCACAGATCTGACCGATGACTACGACAAGTTCGTAGATGACAATGGCGGTGAGACGGAAGTGATTGGTGCTCTTATTAGGAAACATGAAGCTCAGGTGGCGAATAGTCCTCTAAGTATCCGACGTGGATACTTAGATGTAGACGACGACGTTGCAGTGCATTCAGGTGAGTAATATTATCTTCCACGAAGTCATGTATTTTGAAACGGGAAACCGGCGCTTATTACGTAAAAATAATGTTATGATATGTAATATTTGACATTTATCATTTAATTAATACATAATACTACTAGAACGAGACTTTTTAGATGAATTTAATTAAAGGTATGCATTGTAGTTTAATAATTTATAACACAAAATCAAAAAGCACAATGTACTTGTAATAAGATATAAAGAATATTTCACTGATGCATTAAATTATTTACTCATGATGTATTGTATATGCATATCGATGAAAGATATTAAATCACCAAATGTTGATCAGTTGCATATTTACGTGAATGACTCGATGGTTTCCTATGAGTTTGCGTTCAACTATTCATATTGCTATACAATGTGTTCTAATTACATGAATAAGGTCCAAAGTGACAACGCATCTGTTTATAATAGGAATGTCATATCCTTTATCTATCCATTATCACAGAATAATTAATAGTAGGAACTAAGATTTTGTGCTATTATTACGAAAAGTAGAAGTCATCTTCCACTTTGTTAGCGTATATTAGTAATACTAGTAATGACAATAAGAAACGGCTACGCGAAACTTTTGCAGTGCGTTTATCATAGAGTAGCAAAGATTTATCGTTGCTGTAATAACGGTCCTAAAGCAACAATGTAAGTTTAGCATTGTTAGTGGCACGTGCTCGTAGATAGTCTATTGATAGGACAAATGAGTATATGCCAGAACGGACAATACCTGGTCTCAAGTCTATTTCAGGTAATTGTTTTGCTCCCTATTGACCTATTCGCATTGTATTATTTACTCAAAGTTAAACAAAGATCATAAATTAAATTTTTATACGTATGTTTACCTCCGAATATTTTAGTTACTACTATTGAATATTAGTTTCATTTGTATACCACCTTTTATAATTATCATATTCTGTTTTTGTTTGTATTGGCAACCTTCAAATTCTCTCTAATAACAAGTATAGGCCGAATGAATAGCTGTTTACCTTCACTAAGAGACTGTCGTATTCCTAGTAGGTCGTTTTATTACGTATTCAAAATGCGTCTTCAATACAACACCACTTTCGCTCTATAGAGACGTTTGGCTACGTGAAATACTTTTTAAAAAATGGTAATATTTTCTAGGTAAAACTAAATTCACGGATATTTAAGATGGATGAAATGTTAAATTCTAGTCATTTACCATCAGGCGAGCCGCATGCTCTTTTACGCCCCGTAAGTATTATAAACAAAAACATCCTATAAGTTTATAAGATTCGGTAAATTTTTATTATTTATTTGAATTATGAATTGTCAATTCATCTAAGGCCCTAGTGGACTTCAGTTTGAAATAATATTATAACCAACACAATTTAGAACCATCCTGTTAAACTGTTAGTTAACTCGGCCAGTTAACTATAAAATTAAATATCAAAGGTCAGAGAAAGCAACTTTTTTGTAGAGATAACAAGGTTATTGTGATTTGAAATGTTTTGTATAATATATGTATAAATAATATTCACAAAAAAATCTTTTAAATATAAAAAACAATAATATCTACAAAGTTATTATTTTTCTGAAAATTGCATTATTTCTGTCTTTTACTTATAAGGAGAGAGACCCATATCTAACAGCAGGACAGATGGGTTGTGATGATAAATGATACAATACACGCTTCGAAACCAAGTACATTACAAAGATAACAATGTAGGCGCGGCTTGTGTTTAAGAAGTCCGTGATATTTTACATACAAACATGTTATGTATTATTACAATAGTGTTTGTTTATCACGGTTAAGTACTTCCTGGTAGACGCTTATCAAATGAACACAGCGATTGCGATTTTTATTATTAAATTAAATCCATTAAAAGGACAAAGGGATTCACATAAATTTAGTAATTTAATGTAATTTTCACCAATTGCGCCTATCCGATTTGGAATTACAATTGTAACCAATTTTATTTTTATTTTACTTTAGTTCTCTTAGACTTTAGTTCTATAGACTTTCAGAGTAAATCTTGAACACTTGTCATTTTCATAGAATTAAATAAAGTCCTCGATTATTGCTATATAAATAGTCAATCACTGTCAGTTTTATGGTTGCTTGTTATGTCGAAGGTCTAAGGTTAAAGTTGTGCTAGAGCCAGTGAGACTTTCTAAAATGTACCAAACTATACATATTTTTACCAACGAATATTAAATGCAGTCTTTCAGTGTTATTATTATGTCATCATCATAATGTTCATTTGATCACAAAAATGTCAATCAAACATATAAGTAAATACTATCACTATTCGACTACGAAAACAGAATTATGATATCGAATATAGTAGGTATAAATGAAATTTTTCGTGGTTAGTTCTATTAACGCAAAGCCTAAATAGCCGGGATTAGAGATTTAGGTGATGAAGATTCCTTATATGACATAGGCATTCACTTGGAAAAAAAATCCTGAAATTCTCACAGAAATAAGAGATTATGAGTTTCTTGTGTACGGGAGCGCTATAAACAGCTAGTTTATTATTTTTAAATAATTTTAGGCCAGTTAGCCCATCGTGACGAATTCAACAAGAATTGTTCACGATGGTTTCCAGGGGGAACCACATGGAGGTCGACCTGATAGGACATATTACTAGCAATGGGGCTGTCAAACTCCATTGCTAACAATCCCTTTCCCCGCAGTTTAAGAAATTGTGCCAACTTATAGAATATTAATGATTGCTATTTGTCCAGTTACGAGATGTTGGTGAATATTATTGTCAAACTGAAGTACGGCAAGGGTCAATATCGCGTACTAAATTGAAACGTGTTTGTATCTGCCTTTAATGTTCGTACCTACCTTGTTTATTCTGAAAACTATTTTCCTGTAGGCGATAATAATGGTTAGTAATGTACATAGGAACAGTAGACACTCCTAACTCATGTTTTTGCCATACTTGCAATAATGGTAATGGGCTAGAACTTCGAAGGAACACATGTTGCGTTCACACGTAGCTATAGTTCGTTGACATCGATTATTCTACCCCTTAACACGTCACGGTTATTGTATTTTGCAAGTAGATGTGAACGAATATTATTTTTATTTAAATCAATTGCTTACTTTACGACTTTACTTACGTTTACATATTTAAGGTTAACCAACCGTTTGTTAGTATTTTTTTACCTGGTTAGGTATATTATCTCCCCTCCCTCCAGAGCGGGGAAGGACTGTTAGTAATGGAGACTAAAGGCTTCATTGCTAGAAACATACCTAACCAGGTCGGCCTCCGCGTGATCCCCCTGGAAACCATCGTGTTGAATTCCAGTCCTTATTTATCACGATGAGCTAATTGACCAGCTTTCATTCTCACCTATTATCCCTCACTGATGCTCCGCCGGCATGTTAGCGCGGGCGGGAGCACCATTCCATTGTCATTCATAAAAAAATCACTCCCTCCTGTTTGTTGATATTAATGTGTAGATGAAGAATAGTGTTTATGTATACAATAAATTTTGTGGAAAACTGTCAAATTTAGTAAATTTAAGATTGATTAATCGATGACTGATTGCAGAACTTTACATTCGAGTCAAATTTATCATATAAATTTTTGGGGTGTTCCTATTTTGAATAGTACTGTCCATAATCTATTTATTCATGAAATTGAACAACTTTCTCGTATAGAATAAGAAGAAAAAAGGTAATAAAATATTTCTGATCCTTTCATATAATATGTACCTACCTACTACACTCGATCGATTTGGTATAAAATCGTTTAGAATATGTTGGACTAGCAGTTAGAATAAAACTTGGTACATATTGATATATTTATATGCTGCGAGGATATCGTCTAAGTTGTTGAATCAGAAAATGTGACTAATATACTGGCATTTCACCAAATCTTTTTTGTTTTTATGATTAATTCATTGACGAAGAAGTTTAAAAATATCAGACAGTCATCAGAATTTTTTAAATTCAGAAAATTAGCAAAATAGTAGCTTCGTTCAATTAATCGTACATTTCTACATGTCGCACGTGTATGCGCATACGCAGTGGTCATGGGCGGCGTGCGGTCGACTTCCGCCGGAAACCACGCCATACAGGTATATAAGCACACGCACAATCGGCTGCTGTTTTTGATATAAGTAATATAACAATATACATATAGGTAACATATAGAAAAACTTGTCTAGAAGATATTATGAGTACCCTATTTTTTATAACATGAAAAGGAAAAAAAAAATAATTTGAATCAGATTCCATGTATTCTTTTAAGTTATATGATAGTTTGATACAAAAGTGGATTAAGAAACAGATGTTACCCTGAGTAATTAGAATAGTAGCATTTGAAATAATTTTTCGTTGAAGTATGAAATAAAAATTGATTTTATTTACTTATTATATACAGGAATACGTTAAAGCTCTTGTGAATTAGTTTTACGTAATCAAAATATTTTAACGATACCCATGTGTCGAGATTAAGAAAAAATAACGAGTAAACAATTGGAGATGTTCATCAGTAAAAGAATCAACTGTTTTATACGCATATTGTAACATTGGATATTGAAAAGAGAAAATGAAACATTAAATTGAAAAGTAAATATTCGCCTTCGAAACCAGTAATTATAAGCTTTTACACAATAAATGGGATAGTAAAGCAAAGTGTTATGCAAATAAAAATAAATGTATCTGCTTTAAAAGTAAGGTATATAGGTAGGTAGGTAATGTATATCTATCTAGATATTACCTATTTGCCTTTAGTTATTCTTTGATATAATTATTAGTACCGATTACCATACTAAGTAAGTAATAAAAAGATAAATTTATAATAAATAATTGGGGACAATTATAGATATTATATAATTAAATTGTTTTGATGCTAAGCTTGTTACTTATTTCGATTTGTCCGATCATACTCAACTTATACATATTTTATTAAAATCATTTAAATCTCGTATCAGGCAACATATTTATAACGAAACGAATTAAGTAAATAAAGATGTGAACGAAATAATATATTATATAATTAAATTAAGTAATATAATTATCGTGGCATTCAACAAATTTTCGATATATGTAAATACGCATAATTCGAAATATAGACAACATTAATAACTCTGTAGTTTCAATCATAACAATTTTATGACAAGGTTGTTCATGAATCAATGTCAATTGTGTCTTCTACAGGACGGACATGAAGAGAGACTTGTTTTACATGTTTTTCAATTGCTTGGGTAATAGTACAATTTTAAATATTATTCGAGTACATAGTTACGTGTATTGTAATTGCGACCGGATTATGTTTATTGCTTTTTTCCTTTCCATCCATTAGTTACGGATAGCGTTTTACTTTATACAAAAACACTTTGCTATGATATTTATCTCTCACATTTTTTTTTTCAGATACATCATACGAAAAAGCATGCCGCCGTGGTTCAGCGCCGAGTACTCCGGTGCCGGGAGCACAGGCACAGCACAGTCCCTCCCGGCTGGCCTCCTTTTTCTTTTCCAAGAGATCTTTCAGAAGCAATCCTCTCAAAAGAACAAAGTCTGCAACAAAATTGGAAAGGGAGCGCGCGTTGGCTGCTGTACCCACTCACCCACCGTCTCATGCATTGCGAACTTCAAGGTACGTTATATTTACAGAACAAATATATCGTAGCGAATTCATGTAATCTAAAAATATAAAATTATCAATTGCCCTAAAGTACATCATCGAAAGAAGTATTACCATGAAAAATGTCATGTTAGACATGGGCGCTCACCTAAATATGTTGTAAACTTTCACATTTATTAGCATTAGTCATTATTATTATCATTATTGCTACCATTCACTTACACTCGCAAAAGGCTTATTGCGCAGTGAGTATTCAATGTTCAACATACACCTGTTTAAGGTTAAATACAAATACTTAATTGTCTTAAACGTAAAACTAAATTGTATAAATATAGTATTTTTTGTATATTGTGTATGTTATTGTGGTATTGTGTTTTTTACAATAAATACGAATACATACAGTATTTGTATTTATGGTAAAAATACAAATACATACAACATATATTATTATACTTTTGTACCAATATAGCATAGTAATATACAATTTAAGATATGAACGTGCAATGTTAGTGTTAAGTAAAAATGCTCGGTCTAGAGTAGATAAGTGTGACGGATGAGAAAATATAAAAAGCTGCATCAAGTACATCACAGTTTTTTTTATTTGTTTACATTTCTATTAAATCTAGTTGTCGTATAATTAAATTTTTTCGCTGTAACGTTAGGTAGGTAGGTCTCAATAAGATTGTAATATGTACATGTACATGATTAAAGGTTATATTATGAAGTAGATCTCGTGGAACAACATCAATTCGCATGGCATTTAACTTTCTCTTACAATGATTAAGCAGATCTTATTTAATGTTCATAACAAGACTTGATAGACTCCCATAGATCATACTTGTATATATATCTAGATGGAGCATTGAGTATTAAAAACATTCCAAAAAAATAGTCTGCTAACGGCTGTTGGATGCCTCGTTTTATCATACTGTTTTAAAATCAGAAAGTATAATGTTGGCACATAATAAATATAAATAAATACAATCACTGTTTATGTGATAAAAAGTTACAAATTATGGAATTAATATAATTTTACAATTATAATATTATTTACTTTTTTTTTCTTCCTGTGATAAGGCTAAGTCGTAAGTTATTTACTTTATTGAAAAGTTTTACAATAAGTAATTAGTATAGCAAGTATGTAAATTTCTAGTTGAATCAGTTTTCTTAAAGTCAATTAACTGAAAACATCGTTTAAGAAAATGTAATTTGTATAATGGGCCAATAAACCATTCCCTCGTACGATAAGCTTCGTGTGCACGGGAACAGACGGTGTAAATTAAAGGCTCTTCATTAGCACTTTGCTAGCTACTGTAACAGATACTGTAAAGTAGAATCGGCAATATAATTTGCTACACTATTTTGAAATAAGTGTCAAAATCATTATTTTTTAAATCATTATCTTTATTGCACAGACTCCTTTAAGGACAGGCATTAAATTCCTTTTTTAAAATTTCATAATTTAACTTGAAATGATCATGTATATATTATAAATTTATATGTATAATATGTGTATCTGTGACTATACGTAATATAAAATATACCATATAATAAAATAACAGTACGAATAGTAGGGAATAGGTTTTCTTAGTAAATCTTATATTTAGGATGTTGTAAAATGGTCTACGTCCGGGAATCTGCCGAGAATCATAAAACATCGAACCATAGTTGTATCGCATAAAAGGAATACACTAAAATAGAAGGAACATTTTCCGTAATGTGTAATGCCACGCTACAAGTTCTTGCAAAACTTGTATGCGTGTATTTAGCGACATGTCGTGACTTTACAGCGTTATGCAGTGCCAGGAGTGTCGCCCCTCCCAGTCTGGAGCTGTTATTTAACGAACGCCTTTTAATTACTTCCCTAATGCTAACACGAAACTTTATTATAAATGTCTATATTAATACAAGGCTGACATAAATTAGTATCTGTAACAGTCGCAAAATATACAGAGCAGGTACCTATATAGCTTTATCCAATTATTCATATACCATGTAGTGAACATTAATGTATGTACATTACCGAATTTTGTGCTGTTATGTAATGTGAGTGCTTTTTATCGAAATTTTGTCCTCCTTGTCACACATTTATTTCTATTAATACTCAAATATCGAAGTAATATTAATATTAATAGACGTAGATATTATGGAAAAAAATCCTAGAAACTATATCTTTAACTGAAATCAAAAACCATTTAAAAGCTATTATTCACAAATTTTGCTGAAACTTAATTTTTTTTTATTTCGAGCCAAAATCGTAATAAACTGCGTTTTTTTACATAAACACATAGTAATAAAACGCAGATCAGAGCAGTTTATGTAAATTATTTTTCTTTGTTACATATCAGAATTGTGCTTAATAGCTACCTGATCGAGCCTATTTTTATTGTTTAGTTAGGTATTTTAAAAATACAATATTTAAATCTATTCAGTCGTCATATAATAAGTATTCCTCAAATTTCACATGGATATAAGAATCATAAGTGCTCGAGAAATGACACCTATTTCTATACTAGAGTTGTTCTCTGACATTGTTTATACTTACAAAGAAACCGGCAAACATATGTATGCCTGATTTTTATTTATATTTATAAATATTTTTCGTACTCCTTCTTAAATGAAAACTCGCTAGTTTTCCTTGTTCGTCTTACACGTGTAAGACTGGGATTATCGAATATCATATTACGAAACGGAACCCCAAGGGAACCATATACTGTGATTTATTTATCGACTGTTCGCTTCATTGTTGCAGATCTCATGAAAGCCTTTTGTCGGCTCATTCACCTGCCGTATCCACCATGGATTTAGGACCACCCAATCAAGTAAGTTTAAGTAGATTTTTATGAACAGTTCTTAATTTGTAGATAAGTAGTTTTATATGTAAATTAAGGCTAAAAACCGACTTCAATCGTGAGAAATTAAACTAATGTGGGACTTTTAGTGATCAGCCTGCCAGTAATTTCGATATAAAAAGAATATTATAACAAATAATAATTTAATATCGGTTTGATAAATTTATCGTATCACGTAACGAGCCTCCCAAATATCTTTACAATTTATAATTTCCAAAAATAAAACCTACAATACTTCTGCTAGTACTACTGGGTACTTTCATGTTATCATCGACAATATAAAACTATAATATTACTTAAACAATGGTTATTTGCTTACAGGTGGAGATACGTGCCTTGCATTCTTCTGTTCTGGGCAGACCGCACTGTTTCGCGCTGAGTGCTGAGAACAGACCACCGAGATACTTCGCCTGCGCGTCGCGGAAGGAGCGAGACCGCTGGATATACAGGTGATTTTATATACTACTTAGATTACATACAAGTTGATGGATGATCGACTTTATAGAAAATAGTGACACTATTAGAATTATACATTACTCATAGTCGGCTCACTGAAAAAAAAACCCTGAAGTATGTCTTCAGAAATCTTGTTTACAATAGACCGACTATACATAATATACATAAATACATATTTTACAGTTAACAAAATTAGAATAACCAACATAAACAGACTTATTCCCATAGAATATAATAATGTTGGAATTCTATTAACAGTGGTAAAGCAAAATATTGACACAAATGCGATTGTTTTCAAGTTCAGGTTACACGTTAGTTGAAATTAAATATTTAAATTACATAGCTTTGTCTGACATATTACCGGTGAATTGCGGTACAATTTAAGTGAAAGGCAAATTATATAATTGAAAAAAAGCCAGCTTAATGTATAAAAAATCGCTGGTTTTAATATTTATTTTATATGTATATACAAATATGGTATTCAGTTTTGTAGTAGTAGCTATGTTAAACGATTTTCTATATATTTTTTTGTAATGGATTAACATATAAACTAAAAACTGATTTTATAAATTCTTTCATCTATAAAAATGTACATTATCAGCGAGCAATGTAGGCTATATATTATTTAAAAAAAAATTACCCGTACAATGTTGGGCCGGATCATTGCCTAATAAAAATAAAACAAGTTTAGTTTTGCGAAATGAAAACTAAGAATTATTATTATTAGAAAGCAATAATATTAACCACAACTGTTATTGTGGTTATAAATACAATGTACCTGTTCAATCTTTCAAAATTTTTATACTGACTTGTAAAGCAGGAAACGTTAGTTGTAAATTACATTGTTTGCGTTCAATTTATACTAATATATTTATTTTAAAATTAAATAGGTACTTTCCTTATTGTTTCTATAAAATATTTATTAAAATGATTTCAGACATAACACTGTGTGTGTAAACGAAATAATGACTGTATTTCGCGAAAATATGTAAATAAATATTCCGTATTATTTTTATTGTTAATCTGCATCTCTACCTGCATTATGGAAAATCCATATTGTAAGAATAACCTATGTACCTATTTATTTTATAATTTAGTTTTTGTCAACACCATTCAAGTTATTTAGTGTGGTGCATATAATATTATTGTTATTAAAGAGTATACGTTCTTACATAAACTCTAAAGTATGATAGTAAAATGGATAAAATTTGTACATTAATAATTTGGGAGGATTTAAGTACCAATATCATACGACGAAGGCACTGAAATTTAATCCTTTTTTAACTAAAAACAAATTTTATTTCAATCTTTTAATAGACTAAAGTTATAAGACTAATAATATAGTAAGAATCGTGATTGTCTGTAGTTACAAATAAGTAGGTACCTAAACACATTTAGCCTCGAGCCATCTCTACATATTAGAATGTGATGATTCATGACAGATAAAAAGAATATAAGGCCAAAGTCCTATATCCTTACGTATAACAGTTACTTCGCCTATCTTTGTAGCATGTATAGAAAGAAAGGAACTTTATTTTGCTCAAATATACGACAGCTTCCACACAGGGGTTAAAAAAATAACAAAAAAGTAATAATAAAAAACTACAATGGCATTAAGCGCAGTCCTCGTGGAAGGTGGTAACCGTAGCCTATGGCCGTCTGGGACTTCAGTGTGAATGTCACTTTCAAATTTGCAAAAAATCATCTTTAAGGAACTTCACACTTGTAGAATGTTCTGAATGTTAGATGTTAATTTGTTTCAGAGTATACAGGGATTTAGTTATTTATAAAATAAATTCGATGTAACGATATCTTGCAGTTATGTTGTCCAACATAAATATATTATATAATGTAATTTTCATTTCACAAAATAATTTTTGGTCAAATAGTAGTATAAAAAAGGAATACACTAAATTCAGATTTATGTTCTAACTTCAGCTTGCGGCAAGCGGCGCGGCCAGACGAGATGCGTACACGCCGGTGCGAGCGGACTGTCAAGTTGTGGTTATTGGAAGCAAAAGATATACCTCTCAAGAAGCGGTACTACTGCGAAATTTTGCTTGACGACACACTGTATGCAAGGTGAGATTTTTTTTGAAAATCCAAATCCTTTTTCTATTTATTTATTGTCTTAAAAGCAAACCCTTTCAATCACAAAGAGAACCATTCACAAAAATATACAGTGGAATTAAGAAACCTTTTTCCGCATTTTTTCAAGTCGTTATAATTAACGACAAAAAATCTTTATTAATTAATAAAGATTTTTTGTCGTTAATTATAACGATAATATAATATATATATATATATATATATAACGATATATATTAATTATAATTATAATATAAATGAGATCTAGAAGAGATCTAGGAAAGAAGATCTAGAAAAAAAAAGATTTTATATACAAAATTAGAATGTTCAGTGCGCAATTTAACTTTCTTGTGAGATCAAAATAACGTTTTTAATTTATTCAATGATGAAATTATTTTTTTATTGATTATCAGATACGAATGTATCTATATTCGAACCATTTACGTTAATTTTGGTTAAAAAACTTATCGTTGTAAATACTAATATTGTAATTTTTAATCATATATATTTTAGTATTATATTTTGTATTGCATTAATTATTTCCAAATTATACGAGAATTTGCAATACCTTATATAAATATTTCAATGCAAACACAGTTAATTTACCTTGAAATATATAATATAATACTATATGAGCTTGACGAATAAATACGAGGAAAATATGATTTCTTCTACAATAAAATCATTGTTGACATTATTATACATAAGGGAAGCTTCTAAAGGCGTTTACTTGCGGAAAATATTCCATTTATTCATTTAATACCACAGAATACAAAGAACTCTAATACTCGTACATTTCAAGCGTCTTATTTAAATATTCTTTGAGATTTGAAAGTCCTAATTCAGGGATTACTAGAGAGCTATGGGGTGTACTTTATGAGGGTTAAAACTGGTCGACCGGATCCATAACGCTAGGCTGCGTTTTCGCATAAAATTTGTTGATGTGGCATATAAAAAAGCAATGCTAAAGAATAACTAGGTTAGGCTTTAGTAAATAAATAATCCCGTCAGTACTATTGGTTTACGCAGGCGGGGAAACAATAAGGCACGATAAGTGAAGTTGATGACAGTTCAGTTGACCTATGGTAACTAATCTACTAGAAATTAACCACGATGGTTTGCAGAGGAATAAACACGTCCATGGTTGACCCATGGAAATCAACTTGACAAAATATAATTAGTAATGGGGCTATTATCCTATTGTTAACAACACCTTTCCCCCATTAGGATTAGGCTGTGATAGCAGACTACATGCCGAATATAGTTCAGTTGATACTTATAAACGTGCAGCAGGATTATGTCTTCAAGAGAAACTATCCCTATCGATTCACTTAGTAATACATGGTGGCTTTTTTCATCGAGCGTCATAAAAAATTTGCCCAGAAATTGACAGTTCTGGCTTGAAGCCTACCTGACGTAGGTTTAATACGACTTTGGTCGATGACTAATGAATAATGAATTTACATTGCAGATCATCATCGAAGCTGAAAACGGATTTGTGTTTTTGGGGTGAGGTGTATGAATTCAGCGCGTTGCCGGCAGTACGCGCCATCCACGTCAACGTGTACAGAGAGCCGGAACGGCGCGCGCGCAAGCGGGATAAACACGCCCTTATTGGTCAGTACACTGCTCATTATTATCTTTATAGCTCCTTCAAAGGCGCAAAGATAAACATAACAGAAGCTTAATTTGATTTAGGAGAATTACGTGTATTGTTTTTAATTTGTATTTCTTAATGATAAGAGAGTTTCTACTAGGGCAACAAGTTCTTTATACTGAATGTTTGTGATCTTACTATCACTAATTATAAAGGAATTTAATAAAAAAGTATCGATCCAGTAAACACTTAAATTTTACTATATTTTAGCTAAATAATTCTAATATTTTAATAATTTATCTTTGAATCATATGTATAAAAATAATTGCTATTTGCTTCGTCATGTGGAGAGCATATAAAACCATTGTACGGTATATGTTAACTTTAACACATGTTAAAGTCCTTAAATAACAAAAATTAAGTTGATAACCGCGTTTCTCTGTTTATTTCTAAACTACACAACTTATTTTTATCACAGATTTTATTGTCATTTAGAATTTTACTAAAGGTTTGTATTTACACCCATACGAAGCCGAGGTGAGGTGTTAGAAATTTAATATAACGTATTTATTTTATTGTACGCACAGGTAGTGTACGTATCCCGGTCGACGACGTATCGTCTCGATACCTCAACGAGCGGTGGTACCCGCTAAGCGAGGGCGACAAGCCGCAGTCGCCGGGCGGCCGCGCGCCGGCGCCGCTGCGGCCCGCGTTGCGTATCAAGTGCCGCTATCAGAGCGTCGACGTACTCCCCCTCGATAGTTACGCGAGGTTCCTCGATTACCTCAAGAGGAATTATCGGAAGTTGTGCGAGTATCTCGAACCAGTTATAGGTGAGAGTGTAAACTTTTATATTGATTAAGTAATTGTTATTTGAAGCGCGAGTATTAGTTTGTTTGCAGGGCGTATGGGGCAGTATGTAATCACTATCTTTATTAAAATTGGGATGCGGATAACATTAGATTGAGGAAATTTCTTCGTTGTTGTCTATGTGTATCTGTTTCTTGATTGCTAATATCACTTATATAGATAGATGTGAAGAAAGAGAATGGCCGAAAGAATAGGTGGATGGTCTGTGTGAAAGATGATAGCATAAAAGAGTGAGCCCTAGTTTACTAAATGGAAAAAAGCAAATAATGATAATATACTGTGTGGTCCTGATATAGAATGGGTTACCTCTTCATTTAACATGGGTATTGTAAGGGTACGGTAATGGGTAGGTTATTAAGGGAACTTAATATTCGAGGGATGGGTAGCAGTGTCCCTCTTAAAATATCAGCCAAGCCTAACAAGGATAGCATGGCAACTACTGGCAAAAACACCCTTTATGGGGAAGCCTACGTTTAGCAGTGGACAGTTAATTGATGTTGATATAATAATAATGATAAAAATAAGTATCACCACCAAACCTTTTCTGTCTGCCCTATTGTTGACTAGTAGAGAACGCCTCTAGGTGTTATGACCGCCATGTGTACCTTTGTTTGTATATAAAATATATAAAGATAAATAAATAAAATAAACATCACTTCATCATATTTATTAATTAATTATATGAATTTTATTCACGTATTTCATATCAGGGTTACCTGATAAGTTTCGGATTCAATAGGAACCCTTATTATATTAAAAAATCATGTAAAAAGACTTGTTATGTTGTCACGTTCAAGTCATATAAATATCTTACTTATGGTGGTATAACTGTACTCAGGTGTGAAGGCGAAGGAAGATATCGGATGTGCGCTGGTACTGTGCATGGCGGGCGCGGGGCTGGCGCCGCGGTACCTGGCCGACGTGGTCGCGCTCGACGTGCGCCGCACCGGCGACCACTCGCTCACCTTCCGCGGCAACTCGCTTGCCACCAAGAGCATGGAGGCGTACTTGAAGCTGGTCGGCGATCAGTATCTGCAGGTAATGTTCGCAACGTTTGAAGCCTTGGGTGGTTTTTTTTAATGGATGATAATGGAATGGTAACCCCGCCTGCGCTAATGGAATACGCTGGCGGGATACAGGAATAATAGATGAGAATGAAAATGCAGGTCAATTAGTCTGTCGTTATGAATATACCTATAATTTAACACGATGGCAATGGGGCTGGTAGTTCTAATTGTGAACAATTCCTTCCCGCCAGCCTCAGGTAGTTCTCTCGTTGATACTTGAGTCAAAACTTAACCATCACGTTACTTCTTATCCTTTAAGCAGATATACAATCAGGAAGTGGAGGGAAGCGGTTTGAATCACTGTAACCTAGGCAAATTTTTTACGATTAGAAACATCGTATGTTCTCGGAGAAAGGAGTTGTCGGAACCGGTGTGTAAGCATGAGTTATATAAGAAGCAAGAGGTATATATAAATATAGAAGCAGTTCGATTCTGTTCATCGTTTACGGAGTACCGGAAGGGGGTTGGTGTCTGGAGTTAAGATAGTTTGAATAATGATTGGAAAGTATTTTTCAAATGATAACATTGCCTTTTTTAATGGATGATAATGGAATTTTTGTTATATTGTACATTAATTTAGCGAAATATCAATAAGGGATGATAGGTGAGGATGAGGTTGGATCAGAGGGGCATATCGTGGTGCATACTAGCAACGGGTATTAAAATCCCGATGGTTAACAATTGGTTCACCCCGGCGCGCGTGTGGTGCGGCAGGAGACGCTGGGCGAGGCGGTGGCGGCGGCGGCGGGCCCGGGCGCCGAGTGCGAGGTGGACCCGATGCGCGCGGGCGGCGGCGCGGCGCTGCGCCGGCAGCAGGCCGCGCTGCGGGACACGGTGGCGCTCGCCTGGCGCTGCATCGCACGCTCCGCGCCCGCCTTCCCACCGCCGCTGAGGGACTGCTTCGCCACCTTCCGCGAGAGGTTAGCCACCTTAAATAGACACGCAGATTTTTTTTTTTATACAACTTAGAATGGCAAACAATCTGACGGCCCACCTGATGGAAAGTGGTAACGGTCGCCTATGGACATGGGCAGTACCATGGATATAATGGCACATGGAATGGCATGGCAAACACGCTGACTTCCCTTTACATGGAAAGTGATAACCATCATTTATAACTATGATATGCACTATTATATATTATGTTATTTTTTTTCTTTTTATACTACTTAGAATGGGAAACAATCTGACGACCCACCTGATGGAAAGTGGTAACCGTCGCCTATAGACATGAGCAGTACCATGGACATAACAGAGTATACTGTTTCGCCCATGATACCCCCCATGCGTTGCCATTTCTGAGGACTCAGGTGTTATTCCTCTGTACCCTGTAAATTCACGCCATATCCCACCCTTCAAACCGAAACACAGCCATGCAAACACAACTGCTTCACGGTTGAAACACGAATGGGACAGAGGTGCCCAAGCAATCGACTTTTGTACAGTCTCCCTCTGGTGAATATGAGGACCACGTTCTACCATTAGATGTTAATTGAGAAACTTATTGCTTTAGACGGCTTAGAAACTAGATTCCAGAGAGCGAGATTCGAAAGAGAGAGATGAATAGTAGTAGTTAAAAATAAGTTAAAAATTAAAAATTTTAGATCTTGCTGGACCATTTTTCAGTGGATGTCAATATTCATTCACTCTGCTAGAAAAGAAGTCTATGGAGTGGATTAATTTTAATTATTATTTTAGTCACAATAATATTTTAACACATTTTTAAGGTATGATGAAAATAACGATAATTTGTTAATAATTATAAAAATAAGGTCATCTCATCATCATCTTCGTAAAACATAATTGTTCACCTCAAATTCCAAATTTCGTATATATTCAACAATTTTCAGCCAATTATATATGTGTTTGTTTATTAATAACTCCAGATAGTTTGTCCAGAATAGAAGACTGTGTTTTACACAAAGCATTTATCAAAAAATAACTGAAAAATCTGTCCATTTTATTTTGTAAGATCTTATGTAGGTTCTAGTAAATCTCAAAAGTAGGTCTATATATGAATTTGGTTTTAAATAATTATACTTATTTATTTGTAATAGTGGGTATTTTAACTGTTATATATTATTATTTTACGTTTTCCAGGTTAATGTCAATGGGGCGAGAGGATATTTCTGACAACCTGATTAGTGCGTCTATATTCCTTCGCTTCCTTTGTCCAGCTATTTTGTCACCAAGTCTCTTTGGAATCACACACGGTAAGATACTACACTTAGACTTATTGCACATTTAAATAAATTTTAATAAAAATAATTTAGCCCCCTAATAGTATCTGTTGCTGTCTTAATCTATGCATCTTTAATAGTCATGACATGGTTATTTATGAAATAAATCATACCACTCGAAATCAATGATTAATAGTGATTTCGAATACTCCTTGTCTTGGGTGAAAGGGATTGTTAGTATTGGGGTCTAACAACTCTGTTGTTAGAGATAAGCGTGTATTACTGGAAATGGAGCTGTCATATCGACCTCCTCGTGGTACCACTTGGAAACCATCGTGGTTAATTCTTGTTGAATTCGATAGGTTAACTGGTCTACTTTAATTCTCACGCGTTATTATTAGTATTACGGTAGGGTAGGATAAACAAAAAAAATTTGGAGTCACTGCACAGATTAGATAATTTTAAAGAGTTTTCGCTGCTTTTCATCGCAGAGAACAATTATAAAACACTATAAATTTGTACAACTGTATATATTACTCTGAAGATATTTGGCGAGTGTTTGTATACGACTGCGTGGCAATGTGTTTCTATGAATTGCGAAACTGTACCACGCAAATTTTCTACTGGATTTGTACGGAAAAATACAAGGTGCAATCAAAATCGTTAGCGGTACATAAAACTAACCCCTTTATTCAAACAGAGGTCAAGCGTCTCATAAACCGATGTTAGCTATTGAAATGTTTTGTCTTTTTTCCATTATGCTAAATTCTCATTTTAAAAGAAAGAGACAAAACATTGTAATAGCTAAAATAGATTTGTATTAAATTTTAGTTTTTATGAATAAGATAGTAATATTCTATACATGGTAATATAAAGCATAATATTTTATTAGGACACGAATTTTGTGACAACAAAAAATTTGAGTCTTCCATACTAACTCCACAACCAATTGCGCCGTGTTAGTATGAATGAATGAATAAAAATTTATTTAAATAAAACCATAACACTAACATTTATATATTCTTTATATGTAGTAGAAATCAATCAGTGTTATGGTGAAGAAAAAAGGTTGAAACCTAAAAAAAAATTCTAGTTTTTGGACTCATGTTTCTTTAATGATAATGTTCAATTTCCTAGGGAAACATTTCTTTATAGCACTAAAGCACTCACTATAAAATGTATACTGTGAATAAATAACATTGTAATTTATTATGGATCAATTAATATTAATAGAATACCCGAACGAGCGGGCCGCGCGCAATCTGACTCTGGTCGCGAAGACACTGCAAACCCTGGCCAACTTCACCCGCTTCCAAGGCAAGGAGGCGTTCATGGAGTTCCTCAATGACTTCCTCGAGCAAGAGGCTCCTAATATGAAGGCCTTCCTCAGAGCTATATCGGTAAAGTTATATCTTATTTTTAATATGAAACTATTTTTAAATGTTGACATTGTATGAAGCATGGAATATTTAAAATTGGATATCCACAGTAATATATTTATTGTAAAAGCTTATATAACTTTATACATTATACTTGAGTATGTATTATATGCGTGTATGTTGAACAGCACCTCTACCATAACAGCACCAGTCAACAAATGCCTTTGACTACCCTATTAGGAATATTAAATCATTAAAAATTTATCGTAACTTGCTAGTACGAAATACTACATTAAAGGCCATTAACAAAGTAAGAAACCAGATTGATGCCAGAGGAATAACCCTACACGAGTGTAATGTTTTGAAAATGTCAGCTTTATTTATTAAACTGTGTGTGTTCAAAAGTAGTGGATTTCGACTACAACGTTAAACTACTTACAGACACGTCCTCAAAATCAGCAACAGTTACAACAACAACAACAGCAGCAGCATCACCAAGACGGAAGCAACCGTAACTCTTCAGCATCTCAGGGTTCTACAGCTGGGTCTGAGGGTTCTAGAGGCGAGATGGTCTCAGTGGAAGCAGACCCCGAATGGGCTCCGCACGTTGACCTGGGGAAGCAGCTGGCTACGTTGCATGGACTGCTGGTAGATAGTCTGCCGAAGCTGCCTGCTAATAAGATACAGGTAAACTATTAATATATTAAATAAATAGGTACCATTTACCTACAAAAATTTTTCATCGTATTTAAATATAATAATAATAGTGTATTTAAAATATACCAAAATTTTCTGTACAATACATAAAATATTCAATTTTAAACGGTGTTCAAAATCCAGTACTATATTCGATCAAGAATTGATAATAGTTTTTCTAATCTAATTTAATCAATCTTCAAATGAAATTTAGGATAAAAAAAATATTACTGAAATAAATATTATTTTTTTCCAGGAGTTGGATCCATTATACGATATATTAGATGAACTAAGCAAGAGACTAGCGAGCAACGACAATGGACCTGTTTCACAAGCAACCGATAATATCTTTAGGTAAGTACAAAATAGTTATAATAAGAAAACAAATATCTTTATTTTATATTAAAAAAAGTCGATATTAATATAAACACCTATATTTTAGATTCAATGATCCCACGTGCAGTACACCAACAAAAGTTAACAACACAGAATCTACAGTCAATGGTCAAATGAACAGCAACTTCGCTCACAGTTCACCTATTATGAATAAAAATGGCGTCCAGTTTAACATCAGTCCATCCAAATCAAATGCCGAGGAATCCAAATATAAAGGTTCTTTTGTAACCGTCGCTAAATCGCCCAGTTTCAATTTACGCTCAGCAACGTTACCGAGAAATGGATATGGCTCGAGCCCAGTGAATCAAAATGCGAACCCTGATCGATACAGCTCTCAATACAACAGCCAAGAGCATTGCGTCAATCCAAAAGTCTTACAGATTGGTTTTGGCTCCGACCAATATCCAAAAGGCATCAGCAACGGTATAAATGAAAGTCTAGAGAGAAGATTCCAAGAGAGATACAAGCCCAACAACTATAACCAAACTCAGTACCACAACTCTAATTATAACAACACCGAAAGATCTCCAAGTAGTGACAGTATTAACCACAATTATTCCGTTAAAGATATGCAAAATATTATAAAAGAAACAGCAACATTGGAAGAATTATCCGATTTGTTGAAGTACGCTGATGATTCAGACATAGTTGACGATAAACTTATGATGAACAAGAAAAATTTAGCTCAGTCAAAATCTAATAATAATAACATTGTTAACGGAAGCAAAACAAACTATACTAATAATGGTTCAAATGTTTCTATAAGTGGATTGTCTAATGTAGCAAGCTCTGGGTATCAAAGCATCGCTACATATAGCCAAAGTTCTAGTCCCATCGAAAACACAACACATCACCATCAGCCGTACGAAAATGGCGGTCAGCCTATGAGTCGCTATTCGCAACTAAATTACCAAAAACAGAGAGACAAGCAGCATTATGATAACAAAAATGAGAAATTCTATCCAAAGAGTCCAGTACAACAAAAAATCGAGTATGATATTCAAAAGTATGGCATTCAAAACTTTACTACAGCTGATAATACACAAACAAACACAAATATAAGTTCAAAAATAGCACCGTTGGTGTTCACAAATCCAGTCTATAATATGGAAGATAACCGTCAATCTCATGATAAGAAGAAACACAATGAAAACAGAAATTCAAAACGTTGTCCTTGTGGTTCATCCAGTTCATCAATAGATGAGGAGGGTTTGAGCACAGACAATGTGGAAACAAACTCAGAAGAAGGTTCTACCAACTTCAATGAAGACCAACAGAACCGCAACAATACCCACCGAAAACTCACCAGAGATAATTGTAATTATGAAGACATGTACCAAATGAGCAACCATAGTCATTCGCCAAGGATGAGAGATGAGGAATCGTCCAGTAATTCGCCAAGTTTAAGAAAGACCAGTAAAACTCGAATGCCAAGAACAAATCCTATGCTCTCTTACTCAACAAATCAGAATCAACTCAACTTGAAACACTTTGGCCAACGAGGAGAATCATTGTATGAAAGTAAACCTCATCATATCTCGACGGATTCAGGCTACCCAATGAGCAGGTCAGATTCCAATGTGGAAGAGGTGAATAAAGAAATGTATAGACTACAAATATCAAGAAGTCAAAAGGCATTATATAATATGGAAAATTTAAAGAGTTCACCTGAGAAATACGCTATAACAGAGAACGTGATCTCCGAAACAAATTATCCATTGGACAGAACGTATTCGGGAGCAAAGATGTCAAGTAGTAGGTTGAATGAGGATTTAGAAAGGCATCAGGATTATTATGGGGTACGAGACAGGAGGGATTCTCCTCAAGGGGTATTCAGTCGAGAGTCACAGTCAAGCGAGGCTAGCGAGCGAGTACCGGCACGAAGTGAACGTGAAGTGACAGGTCGTGACAAAATGCAACGGAGGCTTAGTTTGGATTCAGCAAGGGATCTCACTGACAGTTCTGATGACATGGAAGATACGCTATATAGTACAACAGGGCGAAGGCGTGCTTCAAAACATCAAAGAACTATTGAACAGGTATTATTTTATTATTTAGTTTTATTTCTTTCGTTTAACAAGATAATCAAGTTTTAGCTACATTAGCATCAGATAAAATTAAGTTTTATTAGACATCAATATCCACAACCTATACTAGGTACCTTGTAATTTGTTTGATTCATCTAGATATAATGATTAGACTCAAAAACCTCCATAAACTTCATATAAAAAAATAGTTACCTAGGTTCGTCGTTTAATCAAACAATCATCAGAAAATATTTAAAGGTAATTTCGTATTTATGTTTCATTTCAACAATTTTATTTGCATATTCACAGTATGAACGTGAGATCGAGAGGTTAAAGCACTCGGTAGAACTACTGCGCGGGCGGCTGCCAACTGAGCCTGGTCAAGACCCCAGTGACGCCAAAATGAAGGCCATTATATCCAGGTTTGTATAATGGTATATTTATCAACAACTGCCTGCACAAACAAACACTAAACTAATTATATTAAATGGATTTATTTTGTAAAAATGTAGGCGATTATCAGATAGAAGTTATGAACATTGCTCTTATGTATCTCTCTATGTATCTCTTATGTATGCCTCTGGGAAGACTTGCAAATATTTGAACATTTTTGAAATTAGGCACATACATGCTTTGAATTTTAAGCACAAATATTATTCATACTTTCAGATTACAATTGCATTATCGCATTTATTGTAAATCATTGGTTATTGTATTCATTATGTATATATCTATAATTTATTAGTTCCCAATTTAAATATTTTTTACTTGTCAAATATTGTTCAATACTATAAAATTTATTACATAACAGCTAATCCTTAAGTTTAATGTATGAGTTGTCACTTCTCAGATATCTTTTGGTAGATTTTTATGTGCTTTAATAGTCATACAGTACGAAGTTCTTTTATATAAAACTGAGACTTTAGCACATATAATTTGTCGTTAGGTTTAGTTGTACGTACTGTTGATATTGAATTTTTTATGTAGCTAGGATGATCTTTTACAAAGAAAGTAAAATTGTATTTATTATACTTATAAATATGCAGAGGTCTCTTACGTACATACTTAAGTTGCTTAAAAATAAAAATAAAGCATACATTTCCTTTGACTCCATATATAGCCCTTTTCAAAAATTTCCTTGGAGAGTCTCTCGCCTCTAATTTTTGATGGAATTCTAATAGATTACAAAAAAAAAGTAAAAAATCTTGGCATTATCTTTGACAGTACTTTATCGTGGTCTCCGCAAATTTCAGAGGTTAGCAAAAAAATTTTTGCTGTTACTAGCGCCTTGAATAGATTACGCAATTTCCTTCCTGTTACCACCAAAATTGCGCTTGCACACTCCTTACTCCTGCCCATTCTTGACTATGCCGACTCCTGTTATTTAGACCTTACTGAAGAGCAATTAAACAAGCTTGAGCGTCTTCAAAATTTATGTATTCGCTTCATATTTGGTCTTCGCAAGTATGATCACATTTCTCAATTTCGTACTCAACTCAAGTGGCTCCCTATCCGTTTTCGTCGTAATTTACATATCCTATCTCTCCTTTACGCGATTCTTTTTAACTCCATTGTTCCTGATTATCTTAAAGACCGATTTGTGTTTCTTAGTGAGGCCAATGGCCAAACTTCACGCAGTGTCAATAATCTCCGTCTCAAATTTCCAACTCACTCCACTTCCTTTTATTCCAATTCCTTTACTGTACAGGCAGTTCGTCTGTGGAACTCACTACCTACCTCTATACGGTGCGCTCAATCTCTCGCTAGTTTCAAAACCTCTGTTAAAGCCCATTATCTCTCCCTTTAAGTAACAATTTTTTCCCATGTTCTATCTTCATCTTCCAGTGTCACTCTCTCCTGTTGTATGTGTACTTTTAAGTTTGTGTATGTTTATGTATGTATTTGTTTATGTATATATATGTATATACATGTATATGTATATATCTTTGTATATGTTTGTTTATATATAATTAGTACTAATATAATAGTGCGCCACCTACCCTTTATTTTTCTTTGTTTTCTCAATGTTCTCTACCCAAAGGTTGTCTGGAAGAGATTGCTTAGCGATAAGACCGCCTTTTGTATCATTTCTTATTACAGTTAAATGTGTTTACTATTCTATAAATGGTGCAATAAAGTGTACATAAATAAATAAATAGCCCTTACACACTTCTTTTACACAACAAATGCCTTCGAAAAGTCGACACAGTTTCCACATATTTTTTAATTTTTTTTTAATCTATAAGACAGTATCAAAAAGATATAACCATAGTAAGCATGTAGGGCAGTTTGTTCGAACACCGAAATGCGTAATTTTCTTATTGCGTAAACAAATCGTCGATCGATTGATACATTATAACATCTATGTAAACTTTCCAATTACAATTTTTGTCAAAAACTGTATCCAAAAATCGGGTATTATCTGCTATTGCTACTGGTTGATTTTGATAATTTATATTTAACTTTACGTTTCTAAGTGATATTACTAAAGTACTACATTGTTTTATTTATCTTTTTTTTCTTTTCTGTCAGCCATTTTATAACATCTTGTAATGTATTATTAATTTGGGTTTGAAGGTCCTCTTTATTTTTACGTTTTATTACTATAATATATCAGCGTAAAAAATTTATTTGTAATTTATTATATCGATTAACAGGAATACATTATATTTATTATACCTATATATTTTAAATTTTCACACGGGCTTTTTTTATTATCAGGCAAATTGGAAATATAATATTCAAAACAGAGTCTTGGGGACTATGCAATATATCATTAATCAAATAACCAAGAATTAATAAACTTTTAGGTTAATCTGCGTAGAAGAAGAATTGAGACGAGAACAACGTAAAATGGCGGCAGCTCTGTCACACAAACAGCGCGTAATCGAAGCGCAGGAGCACCGTATCGCGGCGCTGGATGAAGCTAACACAAGACTGCTGTCAGCGCTGGTTCACTTGCAGCAGCGCGCTCCTCACCCGTCGCCCACACACCCCTCACACAACAACACTCACCCTACGCCACATTCACAACATTCACACCAAGAACTACAGATTTAACAGTGTCCACAGTTTGATATATTTTAAAAAATTAAAGAGACAATTTCAACCTTTGAACCGCTGACAAAATTATGCGGGATCTAATCCAGTGACAAATGATTTATGTGTATACAATTTTTACAATATTGAGGTCAGTATTTAGTCTGAAGAAATTCATCTTACGAATTCGAATAATAGCAGTCATATGATGCTGTAGCGTGCATTTCAAATAATTGTTAAAAAGTTCCTCCTGTAATGCTATTACAACTTTGCATTCTATTACAATTTTTTTCGGCGCACAATTATATACTTACAGCATCAACTTTTTAATATTAAGACTGTAAGTCGAATCTACTTACATTTATATTTTTGTGTCTAACGAATTTACGAGTATGTATTTTACTAATTTTGATGTTTCGAAGCACAATATAGCAATATAAGCACCTAGGTTTTCTATCTACGACATTGCAATATCAATCTGTGAAATATGAAGTGGATGTTTGTTATAATTTTTTTTTTTATTTATGATACAATAACAGTTCTGTCCGGTAATGTGAATCACAAATTGTTTTGCCATCTATCTGTAACTTTGTTAAATTGTTTCACTAGTTTTTAAATGAAATGCTTTAAATGACATTAACGTTCGTCTTGTATCAGTATTCTTAATTTTGTTAAATGTTCACGTCGTGTCGCGTCAACGTCATGTCTACAAAAGTTTGTTTTGTTTTCTGTAGCAATCATACCAAAGACGATTGAATATCCCTTAGTCTAGAGTTGTAGTGGCCTAACCTTGATGCCACTACAGCTGTAGTTCTAGTGTTGTATTTTAAAATGTTATAGATTTTATATTATAAGATTTGTATAATATTTTTAAGTAAATATAATAAGCGAAAAATATTTTTAATACCTGCGGAGTATTATTATAAGAAAATGAGATATTAAAATGGAGTTATTTAAATACACTATCACTTTGAAAATATCAAATTGATGACGTGAAGACAATTTTCGAAAGCAACGCGTACGTACTGAGTATGTTCAGTGGATATTTAAATTGTAAATATACCCAGGTAGGTATATATTATCCTTATAACATTAAATTATATAAATTACGTAATCTTGGGTTTTATTTTTCATATTCAACCTTTTATTATTTATTAGTTATGAGTAATGTTCTTAAATATTTTATTGTCGTCTAGTAAAGTTTCATAATAGTAAAATCAATAAATGTTAGGTATAATTAAAATTATTCAATTCCTACAATATAAGTTTAAGGAAGCAATGACATTACAATAACAATTGATCACACGTAGGACAGTTCTTTGGATATTTTCTGGGCTTTTGTAAATGAAATTTTAATAATAAATCATGTGCTAATATCTTCGAAATATTGCGTGAAAAGAGTCAAAAACTATCCTTTGCTTGCTCTGCGGGTCAACTTAAAAAAAAGCCACAGTAAAATCGAAATCCAATATTATTAAGGGAAGTATTGAAACTGAACTTTTTTTTCAATGAAAAAGTATTGTCTAAATATAACAAAAAAATTGAGGGTTACCACGCTAATTTGATGGTGTACGCCCGTTTTAGTATGAGAAGCTCGAATTTTTTGTACTTAATATTATTATTTGATTATAAAAGACATATTTTAATAATAATAAATGTGATTAAAAACAAAAAAATATGATACACCCGTGGTTAACAATTGATTAATCTTGAACTTGATATTTTGCTGTGACCAGATAAAATAAACCCATTAAAATGTCATATTTTATTTATAAATTTCAGAAAATTTTTAAAATTGTACAAATTTAAAGTTAAACTTCTTTCTGAAAGTACTTATGCATAAACTTAAAAAATTCAATAGATTTTGAAGAAAGGAATATACGGCCGTATTTGCTTATGTTGAGACTCGAACATGATGATGATAAATATTGTTTTTTACCATGTTTGTATACCTATATTCATGACTCAAGTTGCTCGATGCCGGCCGGAGGGCAACAGTAGCGTTTTTTTGCTATCAATAATTTTCGTTCTAATGACTCTTTAGAACTGTATGGATGTATTATATACATATCTTGTACCCGCCGGACTAAATAAGAGAAATATATTTCTCTAAATTTTTTATCAGGAAATGCAGCTTGGCACATCGTGGTCCACATTAAATTGTTAAATTTAGCTTGCGATCTAAATAATTGTAATTTGTATTGCTCTGTAAATTTTCGGAATTTCTCGTTTAAGTTTTGTTTGTGTACCCACGTCGTATGACCGGCGTAAGTTGGATCCTTTAGTGGAGCTATATGACCAAAACCCTTTGCAGCAATTGTTTGGAATATTTGCCAATACATTGTGCTCTTATGCAACATTTCAGATTTTTCTAAGTGACAGTATGGACCGTGAATACGACGACGCATCCATTCCTTTAATTCTGGAACTAAATGTATGTCTGGTAACCGTGCAGCTATATTCACCTGTCTCATCAATCTCAACGCACATTTTAAGTAATCCTCTGGCCTAGGGTTCTTCCCCAAACAAGTCGTAGATGACTTTTTTGTCTTTTTCAGTTTCTTTTCTTTTTTATCTTTAACAGTGCCGTCGACTACATGAAGCATGCTATCTGTATCCCAAACTCTTTTGAATTCTTTTTCAACGTGAAGACGTTTTTCGTCCGTATCGTAAATTGTTTGGTATTTGAACTGAAATGGTGAATGTCGTGTCGGTTTTTGAAAGAACGGTAACTCGTCCGGAGGGAATGTACCTTCATTACCATAATCATAGTGGTGACCGCAGTAACATTTAGTCTTCCTCACATATTCAAATACAGAATCATGCCATTTTTTTACGCAATCACATGGATCAGCTTTGGGCGGAGGTGGGCGTGCGGCGAACCCATAATGTATATTTATATACTCTCCTTTTAAGTGTCTGTAACCCCCATGAATGAGATCACCAACTGGTGGCAATATCGACACAGTGCCAAGTACAAATACTGTTTTGCCATGGATACTGTATACGCCATTAATAACATATTGAGAATTCCACATGCCTGTATTTGGAGCAACGGGTTTTCGACGCCGAGACACTTTTTTCTGATTTGCCATACTTATGCCATACGTCTTTTTCACCTCTGTAACACATAATTTTGATCCACGAATACGGCGGTGACTATTACGCTTATATGTTTTCATAGATAAAGCGGTAACTGAAGAATGAGGTTCAATTGATATAATACCAGAAATCTTGTCACAGTATGATCGAGGAAGCCTTTTTTTAGGAGGTGGTGGTGGTGGAGGCGGTGGAGGAGGTTTAGGCATTACCGGTTCTTCTTCGTAAGGCTCATTGAAATCATCTAAGTTAGGAAGCGGAGGTGGTCGTGGTCGCTTGTAGACGGGTCTTTCGTAGAGTACTGCAACCATTTTCTGTAAGTATGGGGAACATAGAGGAGGCTCAACCTTAGGTTTAGGTTTTGGATTCGGTTTTTCCTTTTTTGTATCAGGACGAAATCTTTCCCGCAGTAAAGCTATTAATTGTTCTAGACCTAAATATAATATGCCAGATAACATGAGTTTGGCATTTAAACAGTATGAAGATCTTTTTCCGTCAATAGTATGTCCATATGTTATTAAAAATAATTGTGCAAGCATCTCTTTAGGATCATTACGTCCAAAATATGCGGAGTTCATTAGGTCTACAGTGTTAGGACGAGGGTATAATCCTAGCTCTCGCATGACATGAGCAGTTCTTATAGGGCGGCCTTCAAGCAAATCTTGATATATAGAGGACTCGAGTGAATCTAACGCAATCCTTTGTGGAACACTTAATGCATGATACCACTTCGGCCCAATAGATTCTGTTATCCTTTTCAAAATATATTTTAGTTTCTTCTTGCGTAGTTCCCTAAGTTCATCCATGAACACTTGTCTCTCGTGCATTTTCCGCGTGTATACGACCTGCATGCGACGATGAGCGTGCTCGTCATGGCTGCTTTCTGGGCCATATTTTAATTGTACCATAGCTTATTAGTAATGGAATTTAGAAAATACAATTTTGTCTGGAAAAATATAAATCTCCAAATCTTAATTTTAGGTACTCAACAGTTTTGAAATGCAATTTAGAAAAAAAAAAACCAGCAATAATAACTCAAAATGCATATTTTACAATATCAAAATGTTTTTTTTTTTCTTTATTATTTGACTGATGTTATTTTATTTGACATTAGGTTAGTTATGACATAAAAATAAAACTTCGTATACAATAAAAGTGTAATATTAGGGAGTATTTTGGATTTATGGTGAAATTAGTAACTTTATTACATTTTCTGCTATTGCTAAAAGGAAACATTGCACAAAAGTCATCTGCATAGGTACCTGTGTCCCACCCTTAGAAGTAGTATAAGATACTTATATAATGACGAACTGGAAATGCAATTATGTAGACGAAACAAAAATAGTTTTATTTATAATAATAAAAATAGCATAACGACACGTATTTGTTATAATATCAATTCGTGGATGTTCAGAATTTTATTTGTATTAAATTAGACGTTTTTTTTTAACAAAATCTTTGTATGTTATATAATAGTTGTATGATAAAAACACTAATAGTTAATTTTAGTAAGAACCTTACGCAACAGATAGGTACAACTTTTAAATTTACCTTTAGACGAAAATGAATTAGGTAGATATTTATTTTGCGATAATGACAAAATACAATCTCTAGTCTCTCTCTACAATCGAAGCATTTGGCGTTCCATTGTTTCTGCCTACCCTAATGGGAGACAGGCGTGACAGATATGTATGTATGTACAATCTCTAGTGTGAGTTTTACGCATTAGCTGCAACTCTAGCGGATGTTTTCAGAAACTCGATAATTCATAAAACTTATCGAGATAAATATTTTAAAATGAGAATTTTTTTGTGTCAAGGTAATATTTAAGTTCGTATATGTCAATAAACGTAACAATAACATATACGTAATATTATTGTTAATATTTTTTTTATGCAACTTATTCTAAGGCAAACAAGCTGACGCTCATCTGATGGAAAGTGGTAACCGTTGCCTATAGACATGAGCAGTACCGTGGACATAATAGAGTATACTGTTTTGCCCATGATATCCCCCATGCGTTGCCATTCCTGACGACTTTTTTTTTGTTTTTTAATGGATGATAATGGAATGGTAGCCCCACCCGCGCTATCGGTTAATACCGGCGGGGTTCCAGTGAAAGGTGATAGGTGAGGATGAAGTAGGTCAGTTAGTCCATCGTGACAAATTCTACAAGAATTGTTCACGATGGTTTCCAGGGAGAACTTGTGGAGGTCGACTTAATAAGGCATATTGCTAGCAATAGAACTATCAAAGTCCATTGCTAACAATCCCTTTCCCCCCTTCTTGAAGACTTAGGTGTTACTTCTCTGTACTCTGCAAATTCAGTGTCATATTCCATGTAAACACAATTGCTTTACGGTAGAAGCACGAATGGGACAGAAGTGCCAAAGCAAACTACTTTTCTACAGTCTCCCTAAGATTCTACTAAGTTTTTCGTCCACTATTTCCTACTACATATTTTAAACATGTGTCAAACTGGTATTTGTATAATAGATGTGTATTTTCATTGACCTTTATTCATTTAATTATGATACTTCAAATATTATATTTTTTTTTTATAACACTGAGGTACCAAACAAGCATACCGCCCACCTGATGGTAAGTAGTTACCGTAGCCTATGAACACCTGCAATACCAGAGGCACACGTGTTGCCGACCCTGAAGAAAACTCTTTACCCCCTTTTGAAGAACCCCACGCTGTAGGCTCTTGGGAAAACCTCGGCAGGGAGCTCATTCCATAACCTGAATGTTTATGGGAGGAAATATCTCTGAAACTGCACTGTACGCTAGCATTGAGGCTGTAGGATATGAGGATGAACTCCCTGTCGATGGCGAGTCGTACGATGGTAGATAATAATGTATTATAATATAGGAGATAACTTACACGGTTTTCCAATAAGAAACACGTAATATAACCGAGAACAAAGTGCTGCCATCTATCATCGAATAGTAGCACATTTCCCAAATCCGTGTATTAAGTAGTAAAAAATGGACAGTCTTTATTTTAATCACATTATGTGATAAAAATAAAAACTAATGTATATGTAACTAAATTATATATATTTATAATGAATGATCTTCTGTAATATAACTTTATTTAACTAAAAATATTAAAATGGTCTTTACATACAACACAACCCCAAGTATCACAAAGGTCATTTTTAAAAATCACACCTATTATACATCACTTATATTAACGCATAACGGTGAACTACATACAGCGAAGCTATTTTGTTAGTCATACACCGGACAGCAGGGGCCGAGGGACGCGGGTCGCGATCAGCTGTCTGAAACTCGGCCGGTCGTAGACCCGGGGTGAACGCCCCTTCATCCATCACCTGAATATTCCCTCATTCATGACACCCAGGCGAATTCATCTTAATATTTAAGCTATATAGTTCCCGATGTCATCAATCAACTCTAACTTCACCGCGGAGACCGCAAAATATAAAATCGATCGACTGGTCCAGAGATCGTATAAACGTTTAGTGAATGAAGTTTGATTTGACGTAACTGTATCGTACGAGTTTTGATATTCAACACGGAAATTTGTTAGTTCAAATCCATAATACATTGACTACGATAAAAGATAAATTAGTTGCACACATGTGAAACTATTCATGTAGCTTTACCTGACTAACGTACTAGCTACTTCGTTTCCTGGTTACCTAGGTCACTCGCCTATAAATATCACTTCTGTAATTACTTACCATCTTACAGTGGCTCTATCTTTACAAACATGGCATAGCACACCTGCAATGCCGCTGGTGTTGTGGGTGATCATGGGCGGCGGTAGTCACTTACCATCAGGTGAGCCGCATGCTCGTTTGCCCCCTGTGTTGTAAAAAAAAAAAAAAAAGGAGATAGGCGAGGTAAGTACTTACATGAATGCAGAAAGCTAAGCATCTCGATAATAAACAGCATCCTTAAAGGTTACAAAGGTTATTTCGGTGTCTATTGGTAGTAAGCCTCCTTCCGGATTAGACCCTTTCCAAAGAATTTTTTCGTCATAATAAAAAATTCGTACGAGATCGGAATCATTGCGGTTGCTATGTGAGTGTAGTCAACGTGTTCGACGAGTGGGGCCCCTCCCCATGTTAATAATGGAAACTAAGGGCCTTATTGTTAGCGACTCCATCGACGAACTCGCCTGCCACCTGTCCAGAAAGCCTGGTTTTCAGCACGATGGTTTTCAGGGGGATCACGTGGATGGCGTCCTGGTTGGGTATATTGCTAGCAATGGGGCCTAGGTCTTCATTACTAACAATCGCTTCCCTCCCGCGCAGGGGATGTTATCATTCCGTCATTACCCATTAAAAAACGTATTCGCCGGTGTTTCGTTAACAAAATATTTGTTAGATTTTGCCGCCTGTATATGTAAAATAACATATAATTTTTTTTTGTGTATATTATTTTGTAAAAAATAACAGAACCATGCAGTATATGCATGTAAAGAAAATACCGTCAATTAAACGTACGATTGTTTCATATTTACAATTTTCAGTACAAAATTCTGTTTTTTTTTCTTTGAGTAGGCAGGTATATGCTGTGTGATCGTGGCATAGAATGGACCACCCCTTCCTTTCCAATGGGTGTCATAAGAGGCACTTAATATATAATATAATAATTAACTAAGTGAACCTAATAGTCGAGAAATGGGTAACAGTATCCCTCTTAAAACACCAAACATTGCCAGACCGCCTACCAAGGGTGGCAAGTACTGGCAACACCCCGCTTATGGATGAGGCCTATGTAAGCAGTGGACAGCTGATATTATGAAATAGGTTTATAAAAAAATTTATACGTATAATGAGTTCTTTAAAGTAGAAAAAGTGGAGTACAAAAATTAAAAAGTTGAGTAACAAGATAGGTAAAATATAAAAAAAGAACATGACAACACATTAGAGTGTAATTGTACCTTTTAAATTTTCTGTGATTTACTTGTAACACAAACAAGAACGTTTTATCATATGTGTTTGTATTCAACAAACAATAGCTATTAATACAATTTATGTCAATAGAACTTTTGGTTTACCTATTGCATATGTAGATATTTTTAATTCAATTCAAAGTGTGCACGTTTGAAATAAATACAGCGTGATTCACAGAGTTCACAGCCGAACGACGACAAAGAAGCTAAATTAAAAGAATTCTTTCATGGAATCATTGATTCAATTAAGCATAGTGATATTGACATTATGACTATTATCGTTGGAGCCATGTGTGTGCAGTTTAGACAGACATGATTGTAAGTATTACGAGTATTAATGATGAGTTTAATAATTTAGTTTTGCTTGAGAGCAGATAGATTCTTAATATTTAATAGGTAACTTTTTATGAGATACTGTACTATATGGGGTTTTAAACCAACTAAATAGTTCTAGCATATAACTTTTTAATATTTGTACTAAAAATAAATAAAATATTTATTCAAGCAAACTTAATTATAAATGTTTTTGAATAGTATTTTTTTTATTAATCTTCACCCAGTTCGGTATGCAATTTCAACTGATAAAACCTGTACTATAAAAATTATCCTACCCTGGCCTACATGTTATCGTTTCGTGGGGATTTCGGCAAATCCTATCTTAGTGAGTGTGTTAGATATTTATTTTAAATTATATTAATTTTCTTAAACATCTTGTGTCAAAATGTGTACCTACATTTATTAATAAAAATCAGACTAACTACTTTAAATATAATAAAACGTTAAAATTCTTATTATACCAAATTTGGTAATAAATTATTCTTGTAATGTATATAGAACACTAATTTATATTTTAATTAACTTTATAATTATTTATTGTCATGATACTTGAATAAAAAGTAATGAAATTGTAAGAACACGTGGTCTCGCTGACTTGTTCACTCGAATTCGGCCCTGTAGATATAAAAGATTGTTATTTGGGTGGGGAGACACTTCCTGTCCAACTGTTGAACAGAGCAGAGCTCCCTGACGTATCAAGAGTGAACAAGTATAGTAAACCACGTGGTTATTATATAAAATATATTATATCACAATTATTTTTG